CATACGTACAAATCAATTACAGTAATGCATTCACAATGTCTGATGTCAAAACAATACAAAATGATGTAAAGAAAAATACTGGAAAATAAACATAAAAGTCTAAAAGTCTTATCGGTTGTAACAGATTGTATTTTCTTGTCTTGTGGAAGAATATCTGATTTATTGTTTTCTATACATTTATCACATGAAATAATCTCTAATTCGTTGTTTAATTTTGCACAACATACAGGTAAATGATTGTGGAGAATTTATGACAAACTTTAAAGACAAATATCTCAATTCAGTTCTTCATTATATACGGTAATTCATTACCCTCAACCTACATTGCCGTTTGTATTGATATTATCTTTCATGATACTTGCAGCATACTTTAGTGACGCCCCTGCTTTTTATCAACAATTAAGGCTACAACTCTGCCAACAACTCCACCAACAAATTCACCAGCAACTCCACCAATTATAGCACCAACTGCGATGCCTTTTAAAAAATATTTCCAATACTTGGAAAAAAATTTCTTAAATCCACTTGTCTCTTCGGAATCTGGTGTGTTTTTGTGCTCCTCTTGTTGTTTCTCATTATTCTCTCTCTGCATCTCCACACTAAGTTTTTCTATTTCAGATTTCAGAGCTTCTATTTTTCTGGTTTTATCCTCCATCTCCTTTCTCATTCTCTCAAGCTCCTCTTGTCTTAGTTTCTCTCCTTGATTTCTCTCTTCTTTGTTTCTCTGCATCTCCACTGTAAGTCCTTCTATTTCAGAGCTCTGAGCTTCTATCTTTGCACTTTTCTCATCTGTCTCCTTTCTCATTTGTTCAATCTCGTCTTGTCTTTTTTTCTCTTCTTGATTTCTCTCCTCTTTGTCTTTCTGCAGCTCCACTCTAAGTCTTTCTATTTCAGATCTCTGAGCTTTTATCTTTCTGCTTTTCTCCTCTCTTTTTTCCCTCTCTCTCTCCATTTCCTCTTGTCTTTTTTTCTCCTCTTGTTGTTGTCTCACATTATTCTCTCTTTGTATCTTTGTTCTGATGTTCTCCTCTGTCTCCTTCCTTGCTCTATCAATCTCCATTTTTTGTCTGAATCTCAGAGCATCTTCAAACATTTCATTACTGTAGTATCCTCCTCCATTCTGCTTTATCATTGTGTCAATCTTCTGCAGTAGATCATTCACCTGCTCTATGTTATTCTCATCGCTATTGTTGAAGACATGATATCTGCCTCCACACTGATCAACTATATTTTTTAGATTTTCATTATCATTAATGAGCTTTTCTACTGACATTTTTTGTAGCTGATCTTCATGTGTGAAGAGAATGATGGAGTATTTTAACACTTCTTCTCCAAACAACATCTCAATGATCTGAGGAATCTCTACCTCCTGGTCAGTGAATCTATTATTCACAGGAAACACAATGAGAAAAGCATGTGGTCCAGGACAGGATAAATAAACACTTCTCGCTATCTCTATCATGAACTGCTCAGGTGCCATCTGTGTGTCAAAGAATCCAGGAGTGTCAATTACAGACACGTTCCTGCCTGAAACAGTCGCATGTTTCTCTGAGGATTTACGGGTCACTGAATTTGTGCCATTTAAAGATTTAAACTCTTTCTTTCTCAGTATTGTGTTTCCAGATGCACTCTTCCCAACACCAGTTTTACCCAGCAGCACAATCCTTCTGGATAAACGATTGGAAACAGGAATCTCCTGGATGTTGGTGGAAATTCTTTTTGGTCCTTTTTGTGGCACTGAAAAAATATAAAATAAAATAA